CCATCACCATCACCACCACCACCATCACCATCACCACCATCACCACCATCACCATCATCACCATCACCGCCAGCCATCACCATCACCACCATCATCACCATCACCACATCACCATCACGTCATTGTCATCACCATCATCACCATCATCACCATCATCGTAATCTTCATCATTAACTTTATCATCATAATCACCACCATCATGATCATCATCAAACTAAAATGCAAACCACATGGCACTGTCCCAAACTCATGCAAGTGGACGTTTATAGAAACAAAACAACAGAATACGTACCCTGGCCCTTGTGGTTGACTTCTTTGGCAGCAATGACTTTGTTTATAACAGTCTGAAGGAAGTCATTCTCCCCTGCCACCCTGGGTGAAAAACGGGATGACATGTTCAGCGGCTTGTGTCGAATGGCGTCGTCCAATGCGAGCCTGGAGGGCACGGGACGACCAAGACCACAGGAGACAAAGGGGCACAGAGACCCAGAGGTCACGGTAACAAGGGAACACAAGAGATCATCGTCACCGAGTGCGAGAGAGTCATCATGAGTCAACGCACAACAAAGGACAGGATAGGTGACAAGAGAGACAGGGAAGAGCATTGATCAGGAAAATGCTGAACCACACGAGAAAAGTAAAGCAAACGAGGTCGACCCTATCCCCAGGCAATAAGCGGGCACCAGACCTACACTCCTTTCTACTAGACAATAAAAAAGGGGAACTAATCTGAAAGCATGTGGCTGGGCGGCACTTCATCCCAGGGATGCTGACAGACATGTCCTCAGCTTCAATAATTCTGAACCATAGCAGAGGTCAAGGGCAGGGCAGGTTGTTTGAAGGGAAAAAGCAAAATCAAGATTTTTTTTTTTTAATTTAATTTTTTAGGAAGGTTGGGTGGTAACCGCTGTGCTCCAAAAGGCTATGTACTCAATGTAGCCTAAAATACTTAAATGTGAAAAAAAGGGCATAGTCTTGGAGAATCCAACTACCTTCTCTGGCAACTGTAATTGTGACACGATCGTGAGTGTGATCGTCAGCGTTTTCAGGGTTCAAGAATCAGGATATTTTCATAGAAGCTGCACTAGAACTGAGATGATAAATACAAACGAGGCAACGTGCGCTGAGAGAAATGCCGTGCGGCACAGCAAAGGGCAATATGCAACGAGCGAGGAAACACGCCGTGTATATAACGTTAAACATCATTTCTAGAACCAAAGACAAGTGTTATTCATCACCCGAGCCCCCATTACTCAGGAGAGCTGAGGACCGTTTTAATTTACTTCACTGAGTTAGAAAACAGAGAGAGAGAGACATGTACACTGTGCTTCCCTTCCCTAAAACTTACCCTGCAACACAATAAATCAGTTTTAATGGAGCAAAAAACGGTTTCATTAGCATGCATTTCCCAAAGAACTGGTTTCATCGCTTATTGTGCTATTAAAGTCAGGCTGCTGTTTTGTTGCTACCACCACAAATGTTAATCTGTATATTATTAGCCTTCCTTTAATGGAGCAAGGACTTACAAATTACAGGAAGAGTTGAACATGCAATACTATTTTTTAAAGTGGATGTTTTGCTAAAAGACAAAAAAAAAGACGGTGGAGATACGCCAGCTCGAGTAGCTCATAACACGCCCTAGTGAAATGCAGATCAGCGCATCTAAAACTAAGACTCCCCCTAACTTTCAAACAATAACCCACATTTTTCTGTCCTTGACTGTTCCCAGAAGACACACAGCGGGCAGTGGGGTAACCAACTCAGGGCCAGGTCTGCGCCTCGGGACACTCTGAGGTCTCTTACACGGTAGCCTCGGAAGACAGTGGGGCTAAGTTATGCCTCCCGGGGGGAAGGAAGCAGCTTAATGTGATTTTATAAATGTGTATTGTATATTTTACCTCAATATCTGCCTGTGTTCAAAAACGATGTTCCCCGTTTACCGAGGAAAGGTCCAGAGTCTGCAGAGCTGTTTCCTTTATAACATATTCACCGGTGTGATTCTGAGGCAGCTCCACCCAACAGATTTCCATCTGTGATGATGGAAACGTCCCCTAGCTGAGCTGACCCACATGGTAGCCACAGCCTCATGTGGTACTGACCACTTTAAATGCGACGAGTGTGACTGAGGAGCTAAATACTGCATTTTACTTAATTTTCATTCATTGAAGTGGACCCAGGTGGCTGGTGGTTCCCATATCAAAGAAAAATAAACCCAGAGCATTGAAGCCACATGGCCGTCACCTCCAGGGGTGCGGGGAGACGCACACACTGGGCCGGCACTTCCAGCTGACAATGCAGGTTTCCTGTGGTCTTGTGTCCACGAGACTGCAAAACTGTCTCCTGAGCCAGGCTTCAGGGTGCTGACCGGACCACCGGCCTACAGGGGCTCCTTCTCGTCTCACCTAGAAGTGGTCAGTCCCTGGCCGAGTGGGCCGGTCTGTCATGCAAGGGTTCGTGGTGCAGAGGGCCACGCACCCCACATCTCCTGCCCACCCCACTCCTGCCCGGGATGGGGCACCTTCAGCCACCCACCAGCCTCCAAACCCCTGCCGCCAACACCTGAACACAACGTAACATTTCTAAAGTGAAATCTGTTTGGAGTCTGAAACCACTAAAGCCAAACCAGAAATGAGCAGCAAAGGCAGAACACAGGCGGGCGCGGCGACAGGTCCTTCCTGCTCGCCCTGTCATCCCTCTTCCAAGGCGGCGCCCCCCAGGAGGAAGCTGTCTCTTACCAGCGGCCTAGCCCGCTCTTAGGGACCCCTCCTCTCTCTCCGCCTGTCTGAGGCGCGGCAGTGCCCTTGGAGCGGCCTCACACCATTATCTGGGTAGTCTCTTGCTTTAATCTCCAGGGAAATAACACCTGTCCTCCCAGCCTTTTCCACAGCGTCTCCCTTCAAGTCAGAGAATCGATCTAACGACTGTCCTCCGAGGGCCTCCCAAGCTTCCCGCACCTCTCTGCAGACTCCGTGCCTGAGCCAGCAAACCCTTCGGAGGGTGAGCGCGGATGCCGGCCACTCCAGGCAGCCACCGCGACAGAGATCAGCAGCCTGAGCAATGGCTGGGAGGTATTAGTTCTCGCTTTACGAAAACATTCATCACAGTGTCGTTTGGTTGGCTGTTTTAAAAACAGCAACCTCCTGTGATGAATTCGAAAGTACTGTATTTTGAAAATGTGAATTGCTGCAAGAATAAAAATCAGTTACATGCGGAAACGTTCACGCTCGGAGCAGGACCGTCATTCTGCATGTCCTGCGCGATTAGGCGATTTGGGATCACAGGTAAAATATTCTCCCTGCAAGATCAAACTTTAACCCAGGACTGTTTTCTGGCTGCAAAAATTCCATGCGCTACCACAGGGAGTGAACAATTTTTTTGTTATTTTTAAATAACGAGTCCTTATTTGTGCTGAATCGATACACTTAATTATGAAAATAACTATTACAAGCGCACGTTTTCTATAGGACATTGGTTAAGTACTGTGATTGCTCCATACTTACGGCTGAAAGGGAATGAAATGCTGTTTATCTTCATCGTCTACTTTTCCATTTATTATATCTGTGACATCCATCACTGGGGACAAGAAAAGAACAGAGATTGTTTTGCTTAAATGCTATAATCAGAGAAAGCAAACAAACAAAGGAACCTCAGAATGCCTTCTGACAAACAACGGCATGAACCGCATGGCAAAATTTCCTTAGACTCAAGTAAAGTATTTCCCTGTTTGAAAGACAAATTTACGTTCTCTGAAAACACTGGCCAAATGGAGGCGGGGCTCGAATGGCAGAGCTCCTTGTAATACATTCCTCTGCCGTGATCCAACTGGCCCACTGGAGCTGCGCCTTCCAGGAGAACTGTGTGTGACGAAATGTTCTAGAAGAGCGAGCACCGAAAACGTGGCAGGCGTGGTGAGGATCTGAGCTGACGTGTGGCTACCCTGCCACAGGTGGCTATAGGAGTAGGCACCAGGCACTAGGGAAATAAAGCTCTTAAGTCAGGCTCAGTAGAGTCTGGAGAGGTAGGCAAATAATAAATTCAATAGTCGTGTATGTGTGGAGGGGTTAAGTCCTGGGATGCAAGGATTCATAGAGTTATGGGGCACAAGGAAAAGTGGGGCTCAGGGAAGACTTCTGCTAGGAGAGGGTGCTTTGAACTGACTTCTTTATAAAAAATTTAAACGAAATGCACAGATTGTAATAGCATTCAGTGAATTTGGAAGAATGCATACATCCATGGAAACACCGCGCCAATCAAGATATACATCTTTTTCATCGCACACACTGAGGAGATTCCCCCTTTAAGCAAAAGGAGAGGAGAGCTGGCAGCCCCTGGTCGAGGGTGTCACCAGGGCTCTGAGAAATCTGCATTCACAGGAAGTCATCACTTTACTGGTACCCTAGCAACCAAAGAATGTACAGCATCCGTGTGGGAAAGAGGCCCACGTACACACACTGTCAACGATTTCTCTGGTCACTTCAGGGAAGCCCAATACATCAGAGGTAAAGATAGAATATTTCCTTAAAACTACCTTAGAGGCGGGACAGAGAAATAGGAATGCTGACAAATTACAGGTATTTCAACCATGATATCAGATTACACATAAAAGGTACTATAGGTTCTGAAAAACAGAGGTGCAACGTTCAAATACGTATTCAAGAAACAAAGAATGAAAACGTGAATGAATTTCCTAAGCTCGTACTCACAGGGACCTTGGAGAGGCAGCCTCACCCTCAAAATTTCACTCCCAAATGGGGGGCCCAGTGGCAGAGCCCAAGCCAGAACCTGGCTGGTACATGGGAGTAAAAGGATCTATGTGCTTCTTTCTCACAATGCCTACGTCGCTATTATCACTGAATCTTTATGAAGTCGTAAACCCCGTATTTAAATGATTGGATATGTTTTTCCAGAAGAATCCAGGCAGAGCACAGGAGACTTTTAGAGCAACAAAAACTCTGTATAATACTAAAGTAGTGACTATAAGTCATTATATATTTATCAAAACCCACAGGACGGACACCACCAAGAGCGAGCCCTGGACTCTGGGTGAGGGGGACACGTCCATGTGGGCTCACAGGTCGTTATAAACGTACCATCAGCGGGGGGTGGGGGGAGGCCTGTCGACAGGGAGGGAGGCTCTGCGTGTGGGAGCAGGGGCTAGGGGGAGACGTTCTGAAGTCTCCGTACTTTCTGCTGAATTTTGCTATGAACCTAAAAGTGTTCTAAAAATTAAGTCTGTTTAAAAGGAGTTAAAAACTAAACAACAAAACCAAGCTAAGCCCCAAGTTTCCTGGGAGTCCAGGTAAAGAAGCTTCCAGAGGACAGGACAGTGAAACTCCACAGAGACCATCCCGTCCCACGACGGTGAAAAGTGAGGGATACTGAAAGGGGCCGACTACTCAGAACCTCCAGGGGGCACGTTCAGCTTCCCCAACAGGGAGAGCTAATTTCTCCCTTCCTCTGGGCTGCCACCAAACAAAACAAAACAGCACAAACATGGAGACCAAACAGCCCCTACGCTGAGAAAACGGTGTCCTCCCCTGGTTGTTGACCGCTCGCTGCAAATGCACTCCTAAATCAATCAATCAATCAATCGCCAAGTCCAGAAAGCCTGACAGCCTCCAATGCCTGGCTTCCCTCCAGGCTGAGAGTGCAGGTCAGAGTCCCCCAGGAGAGGCGGCCGCTTTAAAACCAAGTGCGCGATTGACACCCGAGCGCCGGGATTTCAAACTACCCAGAGGAGAGAAGCTGTCAGGTATTTTTTTTCTCCCACAGAAAAGCTGACCAATCCAATATTCAGCAGCAGCTCTGCTGAGGGTGAAGGTGATGACTTTGAGACCACAAGGACAAGGAGACATGGGTTACCGGCCACGCCGAAAGGCCGCCGCAGGCCCGAGGTCAGCTTCCGCGTGTTGTTGTCTCTCAGCTCCATGCGACCCACGCGCACGATCTGGCAGACGAAGCTGATTTTCTCTCTTTTCAGGTCTTTGCTCCCGAGGTCCTAGAAATATTCATTTCCATACATTATTTGGGAGCCCCATCACCAGGGCAGGTTCAATGGAAACAGATAGTAGAAAGAGGCACAGAGACTCAGGACCAAAAGGAACTGGAAACAATAGCCAATTAACGTTAAGTGTGCTTATGATAGAAGCTTGAGAGATACTGTTCGTGGCAACATAGTAGATCTTTGTTCTGGGGATACGAAGGGAAGCTAGAGGCCCAGAGGGCTTCTGGGAAAGGCGCTATTATTATTAAATGATCGCGTATGACAGGCACCCCGAGAACCCATGCGCCAGCACGGTGAGAGGTCAGAGGGCGGTCACTGAAAACAGTCATCAGAAAGCTGAGCGATGCGGCTCAGCGGCTTTGGATGCACTTACAGTGAAAACAGCTCGCAAGTTGTGTAATCTGTCTATGTCCTTAGGCAATCCGGAGCTTGACCAGCGAACCAGGTAGTTCTCACTGGGAAGAGAGGGGCAAGTTAGTTTTCCAATGACAACGGGGCGCCAAACGCACCACCACGTTGACTTCTCACTAATACCACGAAGCCCACGACGCAGGCAACGACCGGAGCTCAGAAACATCAGCGACGCCCAACCCAGCTGCTCCTCCATTAACGGAGAAGGTGAGCAGCCGCCCACGCGGGGGGCACTCGAGGCCCGAACAGAATCCCGCAGAGGGTCCCGTTTTGGGTGTCTAGGGTTATAATTACGACGGAAGTAACTAAAAATGCATTTCAACATTCATTATCTTTAAAGCATATTTGTTCACTGAGAATGACAATAGTCTAAAATTCACCATTCTCTCATTCATGGTATAAAACAAATACTGCGCTTTTCAGAGCCCGAAAGCCAAATATGACCTAAAAATACTACAGAATCCTAAGTCCTTATCAGAAGCGAGGGAAATTCACCCCTTTGTTCTGTTTTCTGGCACATACTCGCGTTTTAAATTCTGAGTAATACAACTGAAGATCCTGGAATTTACACACACACATAACCCAGACCATCATGTTTCCATCTGGACAAACAGGACAGTCATACTGAGGGACAAAAGCGAGATCATCAGGAAGGACAGGAGTGGCAGACAGGATTTATAGATGTTATTTGATTCAATAACTATTAACTGAGAGCCTTCACGGGGCAGGACCCAGTCTAGACAGTGTCTCCCAGTCACTTGTGTTGGAGAAATAATATTAGGTCGAAGGTCCAGCAGTGACATTCACGGAGAACAAAAGTTCACACAGGCAAGACTAAGTGAAGGGTGATATTTGGGGGAATCTGGATAAATACAATCCTACGAATAGAGGAAACAAAGCATTACATCAAGCTTTCATGGGTAGGTCCTTAAAACTTCACAAGACTAAAACTCTACAACAAAAATACCCAGGTACAGGAGAAAGCCAACCCTGGCCCAGAGCCTGGGCCACCTGCCCTCACACTGTCCAGAAAGAGCACCCAGGTCCGCTGCTTGGGGGCGGGTGGGGATTCTGGCCAGCGGGGCCCCCCCCACCCCGGCTCTCCGCAGGAGCGAGACTCTGCCAAGGCTCTGAGGCCACTGTCCTAACATGGGAACATCACTGACCTGATGAACTTGGACTCCACGGGGTCATAGAGAGACATGAGTACCTCGGCATCTTCCCCAATTTTACAGACCACGTTTTTGAGGTTGACGAACAAGGCCAGAGAAGGGGTGGCGGCGAATTTTGCTTGTCTGTTGATGTCTATGTTCTGCTTCTGAGACTGTACAAGGAGCAGAATAGAAAGTTGGCATCAGCAACGCTCATCGCCAGCCCCTGCCGGTTTACTCCCTCCAGGATAGAAAGCCATGCGTCACCAGCTGGCACAACGCAGCAAAGCCACTCACGGAGTCACTTTCTGCCCCTACTTCAAGTCCTCAAGACAAGCAAGCAGCTAGTGACTTAAAATAACAAGGCCCTGGGCAATGGCTTCAAACCCGTCCCCTGCGGACTGAGGAGTCTCTTCAGAGACACAGTGTTCAGGGTCCCCCCGATGAGTCAGAATGGGACACCTAGGTAGCCGTTTGTGTCCTGTTGGTTCTCCCATGAGACTAAACCCTACGGGGACATCTCTGCCTTCCTCGTCACGGTGTCCTCGGCACCTGGCACACAGCCTATGCTCAGTGCTCGTGGGTGACAATCAGTTCGTCGATTTCTGAATATCTACCCTACAGAAGATACCATGAAAGGCCACGGAAGATGCAAAAGATCAGTAAGACATGTGTTCCCTGCTCTCAGCGAGCTTAAAATATGTCACCCCTACCACAGCAAAGAAGATGTGCAGAATCCAGTGGCGTTTCCCATGAGATAAGACTCGGAGTCAGTGTCATTAAGATCCTGCCTCCTAACAGCCCCTGCACCCCCCCCCACGGGACCAAATCCCTTCAGGTCATCAGCAGCCTGTTCTGGCAGCGGGTCCCACAGGGTTCGCCCCTGTTTGAAACATGCTGTGTAGCTGTGCCTTTTTCGTGCAAATCCTGGCTTCCCTGATGTTTTACTAGGACTGGGCGCATGCGCCCAGGTGCAAATGGCATATCAGAGCTGGACTTGCCTTTTCTTCCTGCAACCTTTCCTCCACCTGTTTAGAGGCCACTTCATGAGCTCTGAAGAGGCTGATCGTGCTGGTTAGTTCTGGATCCAAGATGTTCCCGTCTTCGTCTCTCACCACCAAGTCCAAATCGAGAATTCTAGAAGGACATGAATTCAGAATTTCAGGCACAAAACCAAGGGCCTAGCATTTTCTAACACAACTTCAGTCCCAGCCACTGAGCAGAGAAAAACATCATAGGAAGTCGGGGTCACACACAAATATTCAGGGGACATAATTCTGCAAGGTCATTTCCTTTATCTGAAAGCGTTTCCCCTTGGAATTAAAAAAATAAGTAACAAAAGCTTCCAATGCAACAGTGACTTTCCTCACAGTGACAAATGTTACAGATCTATAAAGTCCAAGTGAGACGTATGTTATTAAATTACTATGTGAACAGTACAAATAGCTTAAGGCACACACATGCCATATATATCCCGGTAGGTTCCACCCCACAGCTTTCCTTCTACCTAGAGTCAGTTCTAATTCCTAAATTAGCCCATCAGAAGATTTTTCAATAACGTTTTTCTACTGTATTTCAACACCAAACATAAGGAAGTTATCCACAATAACGCTAAGCAACTTTCTGGCCAGATGGTTAAATATAATTGCTAACTTAAAACATGAGCAGCATCTGGCCAACAAAGCTACCCATCTATAGCTGGAAATATTTTTTGGCAACATTCTCTCCATTTTCCCAAATTTTTTAACCACAGTTTTTATTTAAGAAACAAAAAAAAGGTGATTATATAAAGAAAGAAACCGAGAGTTGTGCCATGTTGGTGTGGCCCTGTGCTTTTTAATAAGGCGTGAGGATCTAAGCCACAGATGCCTTACACTTTGCCTTTCGGATTTCCTGCCTGCCATTAACAAGTCGATAGAAGCAGAATATTTTAATTTTTTTAACCATACAACACAGGAAAGTCTGTTTAAAGAAAGATAAATTTTGCCCGGCCGGACGTGGCTCAGCGGTTGAGCATCGACCTAGGATCCAGGCGATCGGGGTTCGATTCCCAGTCAGGGCACATGCCCCGGTTGCGGGCTCGATCCCCTGTCAGGGGCGTGCAGGAGGCAGCCCATCAATGACTCTCTCATCACTGATGTTTCTCTCTCTCTCTCTCCCTCTCCTTTCCTCTCTCTGAAATCAATAAAGATATATATAAAAAAAAAAGATAAGTTTCAATTAGAGAATGTCTTAAAAGGTACAAGTTTGAGAGGCAAACAGACTTGCAATAAAGACTCCATCAGAACAAACTAATCTCTGGCTTCGCTGAGGGTCGCACAGCTTAACGCCATGACATCACTGATGACGTGACAGGCGGGTTCTGTCTTGACAGTTACGCTGGACCACTCTGCACCATTTGGAAGGCAATCACAAAAACTTCAATTTTCCTTTTAGTATCAATTAAACAAATTCACTGATGGTGAACAGGGCCAGCGGGGCCTGTCAGCAGCACGAGAGCAAACAGGCTTTTCAGCCAATAGTGAGAGGCCTGTGGCCCTGCATGGAAACAGCCTGTCATCGCAATGACTGCAGTGCTCAGGAGCAGAAAGATGTATTTTTTTAAAAAGCCTTGTAAGCTCTCATTAATTGTCTTCGCAACATGTTTGCCAAGTATCACTGTGTGTCCCGGCCCTGAACATGGATGGCCCTGAGCAGCCGGTGCTGGTGTGGGCGCGGTCAGTTAGTNTGTGTGTCCCGGCCCTGAACATGGATGGCCCTGAGCAGCCGGTGCTGGCGTGGGTGGAGCCCATGCTAATGAGGGCGGGGAGGGGATCGTTCTGGTGTGGGCGGGGCTACAAAGCTCCTGGCTTTAGAACCAGCCAGAAGGTCCTGGTTAATAAAGCTGTCCCTGAGGAGCGGAGACCCAGGCCACGGGCCCACCTGCGGTACACAGCCTGCCACGTACCTCTCACCACAGTCCCACCAAGAGAGAGGGCCAGGCCCGCTTCACAGAGGAGGAGACTTAAGCTAGAGAAATGTCTAGGAGAGCGCGGACTCTGGATTCTGAGCCAGAAGCCTCTCACGGCAGAACCCGTGCTTCTTCCAAAATGCCACATGCCAACGGTCACAGGAAGCGGCCTGCCGTGGGGCTTCCTCATGCCAATCATTCTTTGTGCTGTTCTCAGCAATCAGTGCTCAGAGGCTCCGGATCCACAGTGAGCTTCCATTAAGGTGCATCTTGCGGGTGTGGCTCAGTTGGTAGAGGGTCACCCATGCACCAAGAGGTCACCGGTTCCATTCCCAGTGAGGGCACATTAACAGGTTGCTGGCTCAATCCCCAGTAGGGGCACCCAGGAGGCAGCTGACGGATGTTTCTCTCTTATCAATGTTTCTATCTATCCCTCCCTCTCTTCCTATCTAAAAAAAAAATCAATAAAAACGTATTTCTCTTAAAAAAAAAAAAAGGTGCCTCTTAGCAGAGCAAGGGAATCTAATGCATCAGAGACTAATTCCATGTTGAGGAAAGGGGGGTGGAACGCCCAAGAAATTACACACAAAACTGGGAGTGTGTTATGTATGTGCATTTTCCTAGAAAGATGGTCCCCGACTTTAATCAAGTAACTTCTCAACACTGTGATTTTATTTTGTACTATTTTTTCTGAAGAAGGACCTAGAAAGATATGTGCAGAGCACTGGGCTATAGAGAAACTGTGGAGTACACTTGAGTTCCTCGGGCAAAATGCTGTCTTATTAAGGCCTGTATTTCCTATCAGGGTAGTAAATTAAGTTTGGAAACACTTCCTTTCTTAACCAGATTGTTCCAGGACATAATGGACTTTGGTCGCTTACCGCGGGCACATTAAGCAGGTGGTTTCTGAATGTAAGTTCAAAATATAATACTCTGATAGAAAATAGAATCAAAGCTCCAGAAGTTTGGTTTTTAGGCAGGTGGTCCTAAAACGGGTTTCACTGCGACAATATCAAATACCCTACACCCAGAATCTATGAATTTCTGGGGGGGGG